TAGACCAACGCAACAAAATTAACTCAATAAGCAAAAATGAGACCTTAATAAGTTTACAACTCGATAAGCAGAGAGCAACAACTCGATAAGAAAAATTGCAACAACTTGATAAGCAAATTGAAGTAATACAGGTGTGACTTTGCAAAATCAAGACCAGAAGGCACTGGAAATGGAACTAATCACAAGTTCTCAATATGTTCAACATATAGAGTGTTCATTTTGAACACACCGCTCACAACACAGTACTCTGTCCATTTTGGTCATATGGCTCATGCAGGACACTGCTGATTCTGAATACACAGCCCATTCTGAATATTGTTCATTCTGAACTCACAGCCCATAACACAGTGTTCGATTTATTCGGCATATAGCTAATTCTGAACAAACAGTTCGATCTGAACCGACGGGATGCAGAGATGGGATTGGCAGAAGTTGAAACATACTCAGATGCTCCAAATGTGGAAGAACAAACGTAGAGAATGGCACAGCACTCTGAGCACAAAGCAATTCATTTTGAAAATCGAGAAATGAGTTCTCAATCGGGTATTGAGCCTATGACTGAACACAGCGAAAAAAGACTCAAGAACAGAAAACAAAAGGTATACAACCTAAAGACAAACACAGACACCTGAAATGACCCAAGACAATAATCGAGACAAACAAAAGACACGACACTCAGACGTGTTACAAAAGCGAGAGGCCAGTTTCTCCGGGTATTGTTTCCCACCCTTTCTCATTTGTGGTTCTCACATCACTCTGGCACTCAATCTCTGTTTTTCTCTGAAAAAGCCCTTTTCCTCACTTTTTCTCTCAGCGCACATCTCTCTATTCTTCAATCCCTCATTTTTTTATCCCTTCCCTGGGTGGCTTGATGGATAAACAAAAGGTTGTGGGTTCATGCCCGACACTATCAGCTCATGCCTATTTCCTTCAGTGTCATTTAGTCAAGGCCCCGGAAGAGGGAATGAAGTAACTCGATCCACTCGAGTTCGTGCTTCGCACTTGGCTTGATACCTCGTTGCTCAGAGGATGTTGAGAGCTTTCGGGCCTTTGTTGTTAGCTTTAGCTGTGTGCCTTTCTGGCAAGTAGAGTGTCCTTTCTGGGAAACGCATGGATAACGGTGAAAAGACAAGAAGCCTGACTCAACTGTGCCCCTAGTTCATCATTTTGACCCTTTTTTGTTTTTGCTTTCTACTAAAACAAATTTGATCAATATAAAAGTTTGATTAACCTGCTCGTTCAACTTTCTGACTTAAAATCATGCAAGTTAGGTTTGGGAGCACTGAAATTTTTCCTTTTTGGGTCCAAGGAAGTGGTCCGATTTTGGAAAAATTGAATAATTTTTGAGAAAATTAGTCAACCTCAGTAAAAATTCTCAAAAACTATTTTTGCAAGCGGTCACTGCTCAACGAGCACAGAACCTACTCTCAAGATGCGCAACCTCGGATCCATAACAATGGAAAATTGCCCCTTGCTTAAACGGCACTGCACGGCAACGGAAAGTTGCCCCTTGTTTGAATGGCACCGTGTAGACGTCCCCGAACGCCCCGGGAGGGAAATCCCGTTTTGTTTGTATGGGCTCACTACAATTCAGGACTCAATGTCACGGTCCTGTATCTAATCTCGCAGAGTGCAATGCAAGACCGATGAATCATCAAAGAGTCCAAATTTGGAAAATTATTTTTGAAAATAGATGTTTTTGAAAGAAGTGCCAAACATGGACTGCTTTGCCAGATACAGAGTTGCCACCTAAATATTTTATTTTGGAAAATTTAGGAAACCCTGACTCGTGCCTAAGGCCACGGGTCCGTCATCACAAAAGTTGCCTCGGCTGGGGAACTTGGCTACGATTGGGGAAGGTCACTTCGTGAGCACCCCTGCTCGCCTGATCAAAGATCGGCCTCTACTAAACATGATATCGAGTTTTGAAAACATTATGTGCTCTTATTCCGGTTATTAGTCTAGATTTACTACGTGATGCGCACAGCATACAAGTATAGACTGGATCGCCTGAATTGGAACAAAACATCTCATGTTTGTTTTTGAAATGGTTTGCTACTCGCAAGTAGGCTAAAATGTGGATTTTGCCACCTTCGTGTGGGCTTAGAAAATATGATTTCGCCACTCTCAAGTGGGCTTAAAACTCGCATTCAATGACTTGTTGCAATTCAAATAATCCAACCTTCACCCACAGGCATTCAGGCAGTTATATCACATAAGCAGTTAGCCTCATGGTAAGCATGCTATCATGGCAAACATCACACTCATGCAAGGATGCTAAAGCATAAACACTTACTGAGTACTCCGAGTCAAAACAGAAACTAGTTAGTAATCAATGCATGATCCTAGTTCATGTTAAAATGGCTAATGCAACACATGCAAAATGCAACTACACTAGGCTCGGCTATCCTAAGAATGGCATATGAGATGCTACAGCTAACACGTATTCAACTTGGAATTGAAATACAATGCAGTTAGTATGATGCGCCGAGCCCGGTGCATGCAAGACAGATGAATGAATGCAAACATGCGAGCATAAGTATGCTAATTGAAACATGCCCTAATCTAACAATCATAAGCTGATAAAATAAAAGGGAGAAAGACGTGGGGTTGGAAGACATACATCACACACACGCACACTTTA